GTCGCCCAAGCTCCTGAAACCGTGGAAGAAGAGGTCCGTCGTCGCCCCCGTGTCCCGAGAGCCGTCCATCACGCCCGAGAGAGAACTGGAGAAGAAAGAGAGATCCGAGAAGATAGAATCGCCGACAGAGAAGGAAGACGCGAACAAACAGAATGACAAAGACAAGGAAAACGCGGAAAACGAAGACAAAGAAAAGAAAGAGGAAACCGAAGCCAAAGCAGAAAACGGAGAACCAAACAACGAAAAGGACAACAAAGAGACGAAAGAGACGGAAAACAACGCCCCTGCGAAGAAAGACGCAAGCCAAGAGTCCGCAGCCAACGACCCTCCGAAGGCAGCCACCGAGCCTTCCAACGCCAGCCCTCCGAAGGACAAGGAGAAGGCGAAGGAAGAGACCGAGGCGAAGGAGGCCAAGCGAGAGGCCGAGACCAAGAAGGAGGCGAAGAAGACGCCCTCGACCGCCAAGAGACCGAGAGGGCGGTTAGCGAGACAGGCCCTGAAGAGAGCGCAGACGATGGACCTCTCGAAGAGGGTGCAGGCCGACGGCGACAAGGAGGAGGGCGAGGCAGAGTCGCAGAACATCAAGGGCCTCGACCTCGAAACAGGGAAGAGCAATAAACCAGAAGAAGCTGAGAATAAGGAGAACGAAGCAGGAGCGACAGGCGAGACGAAGGAGGAGGCGAAGGACGACAAGAACGAGGAGGAAAAGAAGGAGGAGAAGACAGAAGAGGAGAAGAAGAAAGAAGATGAGACGAGAGGAGCCACAGCGGTCAAGGAAGACGAAGAAGACACCATGTTTGAACTGGATCCGGACGAGAAGGACAGGATAGCGACGGAACTGATGATGGTAATTTTTTTCCTTTTCTATTATTTGTTCAAAGTCCAATTATACAATCATACATTTCTGTTCATCTCTTTCAGTTTATACATTTCTGTTCATTTCTGTCAATTTATACATTTCTGTTCATTTCTGTCAATTCATACATTTCTGTTCATTTCTATCCATTTATACATTTCTGTTGATTTCTGTTAATATAAACATTGAATTACTGTCAGTTTATAAATTTATGTTAATGCACTCCGAGAAAAATGTCAGGTATTAGGTGTTGTCAGACTAATGTTAAAGTCTCAAATGAAATCCAAGAATATATGAATTTAATATAGTTATTCGTCGTTGGTCGATGTAAGCAATGGAATAACTGTCACTAACTGTTCAAATCATTTATAAACGCAGGTATCTGTGAGATGGTGAAATCATGTACGACATGCGTTGCTGACTTTATTTATTCTTTTTATTCTATTTATACAATGCATGACATCACTTTTTCTAATTTATAGCTCTACTCTTTTTCTTTGTCTCTCTCTTTCTCTCTCTCTCTCTCTCTCTCTCCCTCTCTCTCTCTCTCTCTCTCTCTCTCTCTCTCTCTCTCTCTCTCTCTCTCTCTCTCTCTCTCTCTCTCTCTCTCTCACTCAATCACTCTCTCTCTCTCTCTCTCTTTCTCTCTCTCTCTCTCTCTCTCTCTCTCTCTCTCTCTCTCTCTCTCTCTCTCTCTCTCTCTCTCTCTCTCTCTCTCTCTCTCTCTCTCTCCCTCTCTCTCTCCCTCTCTCTCCGTCTCTCCCTCCTTCTCTCTCCCTCTCTCTCTCTCTCACACCCACATATATCAAACAGAACGTCAATTAACGTCACTCATTAGCGCTCTCCTTCCCTCTCGTCAATTTCGCCTCCTATCCCCTCGCCGTCTGCATATTCATGACCGCCGTACTCGCGCCCACGTACCCAAAGTCCTCACACTGACCTATGCCGCCCAGGTACCGAGCCTAACGGTGTGCGTGGAAGGCCGTGGAGGGTTGATGGCCCGGGTGCAATGGGAACCCCAGGGGCTGCATGTGTACTCCCACCAGGCGCAGGATCTCCCCTACGACGTGTTGATTAAGGTGAGAGATATCCATGGTGTTCGGGAAGGATGGAGCCTGTATTGTTTTGGTTAAAGATCGGTTTGTATGCATTAACAGTGTATGTATATTTAGTGTTTATATGTGCCTGTGTGTGTGGGTGAGGCAGAGAGAAAGAGAGTGTGAGACAGAGAGAGAGAGAGAGAGAGAGAGAGAGAGAGAGAGAGAGAGAGAGAGAGAGAGAGAGAGAGAGAGAGAGAGAGAGAGAAAGAAACAGAAACAGAAACAGAAACAGTAAGAAACAGAAAGAGAAAGAGAGGGAAACAGACAGATAGAGAGTGGGTGTATGTTTTATGCAAGACGCGTATGTATGTGCTGTTTGTAGTTTTGCATAAAATATTTTTTGAGAAAATAATGATATTGACATCAGGCTTTTATTATGAATATATTCTTATTTCACGAATGACTGATACGAATATAAACATAGCCAATGTAATCAGATAGGCTAACTAAGCAAAATCTCAAACAACTCTGTGTATAACCCAACTTGCCACTGACTACTTTCTCGATCTTCATCAGTGCTATATCAATGCGATTTTTTTCTGAT